AGGATAACTGCAGGATTCAGTGTGTGTGACGAATAACCCTCGACATCCCCGTGAAAAGGCGCGGAGTAATCTGGACAGCATCGCGCGCAGTTAAACGGACAACTGCTCGCAAATCTCTTTCATCCACTTCGCTTGTCACAACGCAAAGTATATTTCTATCTTCCTAATAATGTATTAATATTTTTTGTAAATTTAGTAATTTTTTATAAGTCAGGATAAAAAAAACAAATATAATAATCATAAGCATTTAATGTACGTTTGTTGAAGACTGTATTTTTTTTTTTTTTTTTTTTTTTAAATAAATTCAGAAGCTGCGTAATATATTATCACACTTTACACGTTGTAGTGATACTTTAGGATCTTTTTTTTTTCTCCGCTCCTCAGCGTTAACGAGTATTTTTGCGCATGAATAATTTATCACCGATATCTAAACGCCTTCATGAGCGGTCGATTAAATCAACAGGCGAGAAGCCACTCTTGCCTTTTCGATAGGATCACGATAGAGTGTTCTCTCGTGCTCTCATAAAACGCGTCATTAATGCAATGGCGTTCATCGCTCCACGATGACTAGAAAGGTACCCCGGTTCATCGCCGCGGCAGAAGCGGCTATTAAAGTGATTACAGTGGTGGGCTATACACTCTCGTAAAGCAATTATTGCGGAGCTGAATTTATTCATTGCGTCTCTAAAATGTCGAGCCGCTCATGCCTTAAACATGCCTACCAGCTAGAATTCGAAGCGTTTTTATAAGAACGCCGTGCATAATTGCGCGATGTTTCTTCGAAAACTCCACGCGCTCTTTCATTCGTCGTGAATCGCTAAAAGAAATCTAACTGGAATACCACCGTACAAGATCGAAGCGATCGAGGCTTGTGCAAAAAAATCGCTGTTAACACACGATTGATCTGTGAATCTGCGAAAACTCCATACGCTTCTTTTTATTCGTCACGAACCGTTAAAAGAAATCTAACGAAGTCCACGCGCGAGATCGAAGCAATTGTGGCTCACGCAAAAAAATCTGCTAACAGACGATCGATCGGCGGGTAAGCCCAGATGCCGCGTTTGATCGAATCTCAACGTGATCGATGGCTCGTCAGCGATGTAACAATGAATTATGTTGTTGAATCATCGTGCACGGCGAAGCGATAGTGACCGCAATGCGAAATTAAATATTATTATCTGCTATTATCTGCGAGCCAGCACGAACATCGTGTCCGTGAGAAGCGACGGGTACTCAAGTATTCGAAGATACTCATCGCTTAGGGATGAGTAATCAGCGGCTAGATCCGTAGATCGATTTGCATTCAATTGTTTCGTATTTACGATATTTATCGTATTTTACGTCATTTACATTATTTCCATTTTTAGCATTAATGTTTATTACCTTTTATAACAGCCTTTTTTCTCTTGCTCAAAGTAAATCTAATTAATTTTTTTAATGTCCTATTAAATCGCAAAAAAATTACCATGTATAATAAAAAATTATTGCAACTAATTATTTAAAAAAATTATCTCGTAATGCAAGAATTTAATCGCAATTTAGAAAAATGTGACTTTTTTGTCCACGAAATAATACTATAAATCTGTACTTCGATTGCGACAATCGAACTTAATATTCTTTCTTTTTATTCCATGTCATGTTTTTGTCTTATTTTTTCACGTCACGCATACACAGTACATATCTAAGTGCATCAGTCAGTCGCTTGCGGCTTGTTTTTCGCCCTATTTGGATATTACATATGCGTATTACTTTGTTTCTCTCGGCGGTCGCGTATCCACATTTATCTGCGACTTTTCAGGAAGATTTCGTTTGAGATCTAGACAATCATGAGGGTACCGGTAAAGTCAGAGGAATCGCGATGTCACAGCGGAAACTACCATGCGGGTTCTACAAAAGTCGAGCTCATGACTCACGTACATTGCACACTGCACACGACAAAGTTGATCGTACAATTGTGCATCTAGATGCATCCGACGCGCTTCCGAGCTTCGATTCTTTCCGGTCCAATTCGTACCGCACTTACTATGCATTATACTTTCAGTATGCAATATGTATCATTACGAATCTAAATAATAAATAAGAAAAAGTTCTTGCCTATTTTTCTTCAGCGATTTCAAAATCGAAAATATTAATTGTTAAAAATTTGTTTCTCTCTCTTTCAATTTTATGTGACAAAGTATAATCCATGCTATTTATAACTGTGCAAAGCTCTATATTTAATGTGTTAAATTTACTGCTAGTTTTATATAATTTTACTATCGTAAAATTTTAAATTTACCTAAATCTGAAGTCAATAAAAAAATACTTTGAATCAAGTATCGATTCTGCGCACGAATACATCGCTGTTTTCTCGGCTCGATTTCTCTTTCCTCTCATTACTTTGTTCCTTGATTTCACTAGTACTTGATTAGAAGTACTTTATATCGCTGGTCATGCACACGAGTAAATTACGAGAGATACAAGAAATGGTTGCGAGATTCCGATCGTGTGAAAATCGATGAACGGCCTTCGGTCGGTTCGTTAAACCGGCAGGCGGGACAAAATGCAGGCAGACGTGCTGCACCGGCCTGTCACCGGTTGTTGCATCTAAAAGTGCATCGCGCTCGTCCATCATCGGCGACGCAATGCGGGTTACGATAAGCAGTGAAAGTATAAATGGTCGTTTTTATATCACGAGAAAAACAAATTGCTCGTGTCATTTTTAATTTAAATATATTTCAATGATACATCCAGCAATTTAATTTTACAAAATTCAAAATCATTATTTGCATATAACAAAATGCAAAATATTCAGTAATGATAGAATTAAAATTTGTTCGCTTATATTAAGCATAAATTTACTAATTTAATATTA